TTTCGCTCTGCCAGACATAAAAATTCAGGCAGATGAGCATTCCCTTTTGAATAGTCTCAATCTTAAGTCATAAGGCACTAATAAAACAAGCATTATACCAAACTAAAACTAGTTAAGTTATTGAAAGAACCATTTTTTTTCTAGATTAAAAACAAAAGGCAGCATTTTGATCCTGGCTTCTGTCAATGTAGTAATCTTCCATATTGACTGAATGCATGCATGAACAATTTTAAAGGTGGTCTTCTGTTCATTTTGAGTTTTATGATTGCTCGTGTTGCACACTTCTTACATGGTTCTTAAGGCAAAAAATTATTCATCCTGAAGTCTGTATAGTTCTCAGGATTTTCATGAGCAATCTAACAATCTGAACATTTGTGATAAATAAGCAACATGAGTAACATGGGAACAGACCCATCAATACTACTGGAAACAGCGATCTAGGTTTTCCCTAATGCTTTGACTATAATATATTCAGGGTTGGAGTTCGTGCATTTTCCTTTGCACTACTCATCGTGCTCCACAGAGGGGTAGCAAAAGGAAGCAGGAGATCTGTTTAAAACTACTTCAGCTTATCAGCTTTTACACCATCTGGTGTGGAAAGCTTTCTCAGAGAAGTATTTGATGTGTAACCAAGACCACAGAGCCTCTGCTTGTTGAAACAAAAGGCTTGATGAGCCAGCTAATAAATGAGGTCTCTATGAATGTGAAAGTTAAGAAAAAGCTAGAATAAGAGACAGTCGTGTGTGTGTTGTGGAAGGGGGGTGTTGTACATTGAAGTCTGGAGGTTTTATTTGAGAAATTTCCTGTCTTTAATAAATAGTGCTGGAACCGTGCAGTAGTAACTCACACCAGAATGGTTCTAAAATTTTTTTTTTCCACGGTGAGCAATCATAAGCCACGATATGAACTCTTCAGCTTAAAAGTGAGACAAACTTTGCAACAACTGGTCGCATTGGAGGAAAAAAAAAAAGCAGTAGCATTTTCTCCATGTGTGATAAAAGGTGACATTATTTTTAAATATAATTACTAAGCCTGAGGTTATGAAGGGCCTGACAGTACCCATTCCATCCAAAGAGCTAGAAGTGTTCTGAACTCAAGAGAAAACTCAACTTGATCAAAAATGGAATTATCCCTAGAAAGACAAAAACAAGATACTTTCCAATGATGAACTAGAAACAAGAAAATTCAGATGCATTTTTCTTTAGGTGGAGTATGAAATCAGAGGTGAATTTAATCTCAGTGAGAATATATGTTTCAAATTACCTTTTTTTCCTTTCCCCTTTTTTACAAAAGAACTAGACCAGATGACCAATGAGCAAAACCGAGATATCAGTAATTACTAAAGCATGACAGATAGGTGGTAATTGTGAGTCACTTCATGCTTCTTCACTACAAGTTGTATCAAAACACAACATGGACCTTTTAGCCTGATCTCCTAAGGAAATAAAATAGATTTTATTTAAGTGGCTCTTTGCTTTGCCGTCTCTTTTCCCTTTTGCTTTATGCTTTGGAACTGTTGGTCAATATTATAAAAATTTGGCAAGAAAATACTTGAAATTACTTCATTAAAAATGTAAGAGGAGCAAGAGTCTGCTAAGTTTCTACTTGGGGAAGGGTTGTGAGTTGAATAAAACCTGACACCAGTACATCTACACAGGAAACAATTAGTGACCCAGCTGCAGGCAAAGTTGAATGAGCACTTACACCTTCTTAGGTACCAGATGACCTAACTGTAAGTATGTGAAGAAACCCAGCAGTAGTCACAGCAGGTGAAATTGTCAGCAGATTCTTTTTATTTCACTTGTGAAGATGCTCTTGAGCTGTCCCCCTTTTCAGAAGCTGTGCAGACTACTTAGAGAAACGGGGAAGTTCTTAGATCTTGGCAAGTCAACAAAAATTATTTTGAAAAAAGGTTTTCATCATTTTGTATGTATACTACTATATAGGAATGCCTGGTATTCAGTATGGTGGTTGTGTATAGGACTGATTTTCCTCATGTGAACAAGAAGCCTTTGTTATAATATGCTTTATACAGGTATTTCTCACTCATTAGAGGCATTCCTAAATAACAACCTGCATTTTTATATTGGGAATTATTGTGGTTTAAGCCCAGCTGGCAACAAAGCACCCTGAAGCCGCTTGCTCACTCCTCCCTCCCCGGCCCTGGTGGCATGAGGAGGAGAAAATATAAAGAAAAGCTCGTGGGTCAAGATAAGGACAGGGAGGGATTATTCACCACTTATGGTCACAGGCAAAAGACAGGCCCAACTTGGGGAAGAAACAAAATCAATTTAATTTACTACCAATCAAATCAAAACAAGGATAATGAGAAGTAAAACCAAATTTTAATTCCCCCCGTGTCTCCCTCCTTCCTGGCTCAACTCTACTCCCAATTTTCTCCACCTCCTCCCATCCCAAGCAGCACAGGAGGATGGGGAATGGGGGTTGGTGTCAGTTCATCACACGTTGTCTCTGCTGCTCCTTCCTCCTCGGGGGGAGGACTCGTCACTCGTCCCCTGCTCCAGTGTGGGGTCCCTCCCACAGGAGACAGTTCTCCACGAACTGCTCCAATGCGAGTCCTTTCCACAGGCTGCAGTCCTTCAGTCACAGACTGCTCCAGCGTGGGCCTTCCCATGGGGTCACGGCCATCTCTGGGGGCACCCGCCTGCTCTGGCGTGGGGTCCTGCCCGGGCTGCAGGTGGGCATCTGCTCCCCCACTCCCCTCCACGGGCTGGGGGGGGACAGCCTGCCGTCTCACCAGGGCTGGGGGGGCATCAACCTCCCCCGGTGCACGTCCTCTCCTCCTTCCGAACTGACTTTGGTGTCTGCAGAGGGGTTCCTCTCACACTCCAATCCCCCTACTCACTGCAGGTTCCCCTTCTGAAATCTGTTCTCCCAGAGGCGCTACCACCATCACTGATGGGCTCGGCCTGGGCCAGAGTTGGGCCCAACTTGGAGCTGGGGAAGCTTCTGGCAGCTTCTCACAGGAGCTGCCCCTGCAGCCCCTCCCCTGCCACCAAAACCTTGCCACCCAAACCCAAAACAGGAATAAATGATGAATTGGCACATCTTGTGCATTTTCCATAGCTTTTTAAATTTGGTATCTTTAAAGAGGAGAATCATAATGTAAGAAATTTGCAAGTGAAATACAGTTGTTTAAAATCAGTCATTTGAAATTTCCTTTCTGGAAAACTGCTGGACATATTATGTTTCGTTGATTTGTAGTCTAGCCCCATCTCAAGCAGAAGATACATTTTGTAGCTGCCTAGTTAGTTTTTCAGATGTGCTGTTAAATGGAGTGTAATCTCAAGAAGACTAACATGTATTTTTCTGTGTAAGATTGGAATTATTGGTGGAACTGGCCTGGATGATCCGGATATCTTAGAAGGAAGAACAGAAAAATATGTTGATACTCCTTATGGCAAGGTCTGTATAACTACTTTTTTTATTACCGAGACTTTTTGCTGTTTCTAAAGGTGTTTGTATGCTTTAAGAATTTTCAGACTGTTAAGTGAATGCATAAAGGAGGTACTGTCAAAAGAGTATTTCCTTTTAGTTGCTACATATTGTGTGATTCTTAGTTTGTAGAAACAAGGTGTTACCAAGGTGTTGTGCAAAGGAGACTATACCTATTCTCGTTTGTAGATTGGATGAATTTACAAACTTGGTCCTGAATTTGCAGTCAAGAGGGATAAACCCTGTCTTCAAATTTGTGCTGTTGTGTGATCTGCAGTATATGTCAGATCGCTCCAGGAAACTTTCTGAATTGCAGAAAACTGTCCTTTGAGGTATATGGGCCACCATTTTCCCTGTAACCACTGAATTATGCTTTACATACCAATGCTCTCCTTACAGTTATGCTTACAACCACATAATTTGAAGCTGATTTGCAAACAAAGCTCTGAAACTGTTTTTGTGGCACAGGTATTCTTGACCAACTCTCCTTCGCATTGCTTCAGCCCTTTTCCTCAGCAAAAGGGAGTGGAGGCTACAGGTGTTGCTCTATACACAGTGCCGAGTGTGTTGTGAGGGGCAATTCTCACCCCAACGCATTTATAGTAGGAACATAAAACACAAAGGATGAGAGAGAGTTTTAAAGGCAGGAAATCAAGGGGAAGAGAGGTTGACACAGGAAGCTCATAGAAGAACTGGATCTCACCTATTCTGTAATTATCATAAGACCAGGGGAGTCTGGGTGCTTTATAATTGCCACTGGAATTATGTCTTATGAAATCTACTAGTGTAAGGTTGTATACGTAGAATAAAACATCTGGCATGTGGTAACAAGAGCCATTTTATGCGTAGAAGCTTGCCAGAAAGCTCAGCGCTGTGGTGTGTGACTGAAAATCTGAATCCATGACTCCAGTGAAAACGGTTTGAGGGGAAGTAAGAGTGTAAAGAGCAAGCACAGTTTGTGTGTGCACCACTCAAGAAGGGGAAGGAGATAAAGATTAAGGGACCAGAAAACATAATCAGAATTATACATCTGACTTTTCCACCATCCCCTAAAATCTGTTAACAAACTGCAAGAGAATGAAGGGAACTTGCCTCCTGTATTTTCTGTAGCCTGCTTTCCAGATGGTGGCCAGAGTTGGTCTGAAGTGGAATCCACTGGCTAAACCAAACCAGTTGCCATTGCATTCCCTATTTTTTGAGAGTCATGGATGGTCACAGCATCTCTGTGTCCGGAGACTGCTCACAAAGCAAAAATAGCACTATGCTTGTAGCGGATAGTAACTGAAGCCTTTATATCCAGGAAGGATGAAACACTCTTCACCTTCTTCACAGGCATCTCTTCAGATCCGAGTTAAGGGCACAGTGGCAGCACAGCATTTGGAGGGCTGTTCTGTCACAGCGCTGGGATGCAATAGGATGTGGGTGGCCCAATTTTGCAATGCGGTATGTGGCCTACAGCAGGGTTTAGTATTGCTGAGAAGAGTAGGAGTACCTGCAGGATGGCTTCTGCACAAGGGAGTGGAAAAAGCTTCCTCAATCCTGCACCTTTCGTCAGTATGGAAGGCTTTTTTAATGTCATTTAGGAAGCAGCTTAGCTCCTGTCTTTTTTATTGTGTTCTTCACAGAATGCACATGAATAGGGGAAAATAAATCTTGGTTGCCTGTTGTGGTTTGTGAGAAACCTTGATCAATGGACTGGCTGTGTCTGAGGTTGTGTATTATATGTGTTTAACATAGGCTCAACGTAAAGAAAAAGCTTGTGAATATCCTGTCTCTGTGTAGGGCAGGAGGCAGGGGGTTATAACTGAGATGTCATGGTAGGAACCCACACGTGGATTCTAGATACTGTGGTGAGCTGAACTGGGACTGTCACGCTGACCTGGATGGAAAACTACAACTTCCTGGGGCTTCTGTATCTGTGAAAGGGAGCACAGCAAAACAGCAAGCTTTTGTCCTTATCCCTGCTGGCCTGTCTCTCTTCTCTCTGCCTGTAGAGCTGAACTAATAAGAACTCAGGCCGCCAGTCTGATGGTTGTTTGATGTAGATTAACTCCTGCATAGGATCTCATTAACTTCAGTGTTTGAATGGAGTTTCATCCTCGTGGAAAAACTGGTGGATCAGCCTTAATGTAAGACACACAGGGCTTAGACCACAAATTGCAGTGGCATAAAGTGCATTGAGTGGGTCAAGTTCATGGACTTCAACTGAAGCAGAAACAAACTTCACAAATCTAATTGGTATCATTAGGTGGATCAATGCTTGCTTATTTTGCTGCTGAAACTTTTCAGTGTTCGGGAAGGAGGTGTTACACAGCCTGCCTCTCTCATTTTGGAACAGAGATGAGAGAAGCAGCTATTGCCAAATGCAAAAGGGCAAATGAGAACTTTTTTTGAAGTGTGCTTGGAAAAGTTTAGAAGTTTTTGGTTTATGTTAGTATTTTTTCCTGAAGGTGTGCCTTGTCCTGGATTGTTACCGAAATAAAACCACATTGGGATTTTTCTTCCATAAAGATGCTTTTTCATAGAGCTGTGACATCAATGGAGAGATAATCTGCCTGAAATTTTAAGAGGTAAAGGGCTTAGTCTAAATAAACTGTTCAGAACTTTGTGGTGTTTTAATTGCTGAGAGAATTAGAGATGCAACATCAAGCCTATTTTAGTTCAAGCAAAACTAGGAAGAAAGAAAATGAGTGTCTGAATGCCAAAAGGAAAATGCAAGGCATAGTTAAAAAAAAAAAGTAGGTCCATTTCATTCTATCCTGTAAAAATGCAAAGTGTACAATTGTACTCTCCTTAAATTTTTGTTTTTAATGCTTAAGTTTCTTGGCAAGGACATAGCCGAAAGACTTTTAGCTGAAAGCCTTTCTGGTGGTGACATTTCCTTGCCACCTTTGACAACAGCAAGATAGACATTTCTTTAATGCTGTTTCTTTACTTTTAGAAGCAGAATAATAGCTTACATTTTGTTCATATAAAGTCCTTGAATTGTCTTCTGCTTTGGCCTTCTCAAATCCTAAGAATCATTTAATAACAAAACTTATATCATTAGGGAATGTGGGGATATTTTTTTCAGGTGAAGTATAGAAAAATTTAAAGGAAACTAGTATGAGAATTTTTGCAGTTCTCTGTACTGACATTGGTCCTTCTGTGATCTTTCAAGTTACATTAGTAATACTAGTGAAAATGCAGTACATTAGGTTTTTAAAAAATAAATATGCTTACAGATGTTAATATTCCAGCCATCTTTTCCCCCTTGCCCACTTCCACCATTTTCATTGCATCAAAAATTTGGATTCTATGGAAGATACCCTAAAACTTTTTGACATTCCAACTCCTGATGTGGAAAACATTGTTCTCTTATAGGATAAGAAAGTGGCTTGCAACAGCATTTATCTTCATCATTGAATTTTGAAGCTACTAATAAAACTTTGTTCAGAATATACTTTTAGTTAGGTCGTTTTACTTTCTGGATGACAGAACTTGGTTCTGAATCACCTTTCCACAAAACAGCAAAATATCTTCCTGTTTTAGAAAATTATTTTAGGTGCCCCCCCCCTTTTTTGGTCATAGGTATATCTGGCAAAGTAGGGGCAGCAGGGGGCCCACCTCGCAAATGAGCTTTGTATGCTTGCATCAGGAAGATCAGACCATGTAATGTGACACTTAAGCTCCTCTTCTGCCTCCCCAAAACAATGTACATCATTTGGTTCCTAGACTAGGTCACAGGTTAAATGAAGGCTTGGGGAACTTATGAGATACTTCTCCATCTCAGGTTTTCATTAGATTTTTATTTTGCTTGTTCATTCTATTTTCTGTTCCAGCTTGCTTCTGACGTGAGACCAAGGAAAAAATGAATTTTGTAAGCACCATGTGAACAATACTTTATGCATATTTATGTTGCAGACAAAGGGAATTTATTTCAATTGTTTGTTACTGTCATAATTTAGGGTTAACTGCCCAGGGTTCTTTGCTTCCGTTTCTGTTTTGCAACACTGAATAATATATATCTGACTTGGATTTTGTGGAAGGGGGAAGTAGTTAAATACGTATATGAATTATTAATGTTTGACAACTTTTTATTGGGCCTTTTATTAAATCCTGCTTTAAAAATACTGTATTAGAGCTTTGAATTTAGATTGTTCCATTGGAAGTTTCTATTACTTTATCAGCATTTCAAAGCTCCTGACTGCAACTGAGGTAATATTAGAGAGGTACAACACTGGGAAGAACTTGTGGGAAAAAGAGAGCGGAACAGAAGTATACAGTAGCTCTGTTATATGGTCAACACATAGTTTGAAATTTCTGTATCTTTCACCTGTAACTTTACACATGTTGATTTATCCTTACTTCTTCTCTTCTAATGACCCATGATACAGTATCTGCAAATTCTTTTCTTAAACTGTCAGTTCATCATTTAGCAGCACATTCTTTGTTCCAAATCTTTCCTTTTCTCTGCCATATTTCTAGCAATCATGTGCAAGAAAGGTGTTCAGGCAGTCACCTGGAAGATGCCCTGAATGTGTTCTGTGGAAATCTGTGTAAAGATGACAACCAGTCCTGTTACACAGCCACCCTGAAGCCTTTTGAAGTGACTAGGATGGCAGCAGATAGGGAAGGAAACCCTAGCTGCTGCAACCAGATTTTGAAGCCTGTTGAATTTCAAAGCTGTTGCATTGTTGCTGCATCAGCAGTGTATGCTAGTGGAGTTCTGTGGTGGGGATAAATATCAAATAGCAGTTAAATTGCACCTTTCGACCCCAAATCTTTTGGAAATTAATGCAAACTTGTATCTATCACTTGCACTAAACTTGAATATGTCACTTGTAAAGCAAAGGATCCAGTCTTCAACTTACTGATCTTTACTTTTCATTTTGACAGGAGGCAAGGAATTTTGGCTGAAGTCTTCTTTAGTTTTTAAGAGTATTTTTGTATCCTGCTGTGAGTGAAGTTGCTTGCTTATTACTTCACACAGCAAATGTGTGCTCTCTAAACAAAACAAACCCAAAAACCAAAACCCCAGTGCTGATTATTGTGAACCTTCATTGAGATGGAATGTTGGAACATCAAAATTCCTTGGCACCTAGACAGCGAGGCTTTTGCCCTGTGTGAAATTTCATTCTTGAAGCCATGTCTGGTTCAGAACAGTATACATAAAGTAAGGTAAATAGATTAAACGTTTAAATGACAATAGGTTAATATTAAATGGAGACCTTTAAAAAGAAATCAGAACACACTACAGTTCTAGAAATAAAATTTCTGAACATTCCCTTTATTAAAACAACAAAGTGGTAAATCTGTGTCTGGCATAATTTAAACCTAGGTGATTGAGTAAATTGTGGTGCTTTGAAGAGATTCCACATCAAAAATTACCCAAAGGAGCTATGCAATAGGGAGTGGAAAGTGGTGTTTTTATTAGAAATTAGTTATCTCTAAAATGCAGCTATGTGGAACTCATATATTACTTTATCCTAGATCTCTGCAAATTTTCAAGTGTATAATAGAATTAACAGCTGTAAAACTAAATGTTATCTGAAATCTTGCCGCTAGCATTAAAATACAAATAAAATTATATCAGGTAGCAGGCAACAGAACATTGCTAAATGCAAATGTGTGAGTCCTTCCAGACACTTGCAAACTTGTGATCAGTAAATAAATCATAATTTTGTTAATAGCTATTTCAGCTTTAAATCCCAAGGGCATGGAAAGAGAGATTGGCACAGAATGGCTTCCAGCTTACTTACAGTTTCTTCTACACTGCAATAAAAAGAGTGAAATGTGTGCAGTTTTGAATTGGGCAGGAGAAGCAGCACATCCAGCTGCACAGATGCATCTGGATTAATTTAGTATCTAATTAAACAGAGGCTTTACATTTTTTAACAAAAAGGGAAGCTAGAAACATTCTGTATTTCAGATCCCTAATGCATATAGCCAGGAACAGAACGCAGCCCACAGAGCAGTTAATTACTTGGGGGCTGCCCTGCATGGGCAGTATGACCATCTCCAAGGCAGAGCACATGTCCCAGCTGGGCAGCTAAAAATAAAACGCTCTAGCTTCCTGGCTGTTTGGTTCATCGGGAGGAATGCATGTTCTCATTGTGTAGCTGAGAGGAGAGCGCAAGCTGTCTCCTGGTCCCTCAGCTGACCAAATACAACACTGCTTCTGCCACTAGTGTACCAGAAGTTCTCCGTCATATTCCCAAAAGTGGGACTCCCAGCAGCAGGGAAGAGGGAGCTTATCAGGAAGCTGGGGGGGTGGAGTGAAGGGTGTGTTGGAGGAGTCTAGGGTGAAGGGGGACAGAGAGGAGAATGGGGAGTGTTACAGAAAGGGACAGATTAAATGTGATTTCTTTTGGGAGGGGGGCTTTAGTAGGAAATGGCACCTCTTCAGCTAAAAGCTACCAAAGTTTACAGAAGAGAGTGAGAGGTCTAATCAATTTAAAGGCAACACCTATGTGCTTTGTTTTTTATGTTTGTCTATCACTGTTTGAAATACTGTTTCAAACTATTTGAAAGTATTACTGTTTCAAACCCTAAGGTAAGGAGTTGCAATATTGTTAGTAGGAACACAGAAAAATTGTGATAATCCCTCTGGTGCAGGTTTGATCTTCTGTTCCAGACAGTTTTATTGATCTGCCATATCAAATTACAGAGCTCAGCAGAAGAAAATGGGAGACTACAGGGGTAACCAGTATTTCCTAACTATCCTGCTTATTTTTAAGTAGCAGTTAAGGTTTCTAATGTGATTGTCAGGCTGTAACTCATTCTTATTTGATTGTTTTGCAGCCCTCGGATGCTTTGATATTGGGAAAGATTAAAAATGTGGACTGTGTGCTGTTGGCAAGGTAAATGAGCATTTTAAGGGGTTTTATATTATGTGTCTTAAAGGTTTCTCAAAAGTTTTTTCTTTTTACATTAGGTGAACTGAATTTCTACTCTGACTTCATCTTGCTCTGGGGTTGCTAGCAAAGTCCAGCAGAAGTCTGGGTTTTTTCCTGAACAAATTTGGTGCTGCAAGTACTGAGAGTATTAAAAATACCATCTAGGTTAGGAAAGAGAAATCCAGTGGGGGGTGCTGCCCTAGTAAGAATGGCAACCTGCAAGGCTGCCTGCTCTGGTGGTAGGTTGGTGGTGCCTGATAACCTCAGTAATCCGACTGCTCCCTGTGTTTGCAAATTTCCTTTGTGAAACTGGGAAATTGCCTGTTTCCAGGTTAACTCTGGTACCACTACAGACTCTTCCAAATTATTCCTTGTGATTATTAAGTCTTCTAGCTGTTACCTTTATTGTTTACGAGGCTGCATTCCCTGTAGCTCTCCCTCCCTGGGTCATTTTTATTCAGACATCTCTTACCATACTCAGAAGAGACTCTGGAAGCAGGATCTGCAGATGAGTGCATGGAAATTTCACACTAATGTAACCGTGGATATCTAAGACCAGTGTGCTACTAGGTTAAATATAAGAACACTAACACAGTTCTTAGCATCTGGACAGCATGGGCAGAGCCAGGTGCTGGTGACAGGGTCCATCAGCAGTCCCAGATAAGTCGAGGCAATGAATCCAAGTCCAGGATCCACCCAGGGAGTCCAGGCAGGAGCAGTAGGAGATGGGGCCAGAGGCAGAGTTGGAGACAAGGCTGCAGCATGTGTCCAAAGGTCGTCCAGAAAACAGGCCTGTAGACAATCTACAGCAAGGTCTGAAAGCCGTCCAGGAGACAGGGCTGGGGACGGGCACGCTGTGACATAGCTGAGGCCAGGAGAGAAGGCTAGGGCCTGAGCTCGGAGGCAGGAGCACCTGGGCTCACAGACACCGGGTGTTTGGGTGGAGGCCCAGGGTGACGCTGGCCAGGGCAATTACCACCCAGTGATGCACTCCGGGCCCTGATTCTTTTCACGCCAGTTTTTCTGTTAAGCTGCTGACTGTTACCATCTCTGCAACTACCCTTCTGTCTGTGGTTTTACTTTTCTTATCTTGCATGGACTTTGCTCATGTATTCTATTATACCTGGACAACATTTTTCTCATTTTCTCAAATGAAATGCTAAGCCAAGATGCTGTATCAAAGTAGGCCTTGGGCTACAGATGGCTGAACAACTCAGCTGTGGTTTACATCCTCACTGGGATTTATGACCATTCGCATATGACCATTGTGAGTTTACTTTTGGGCCTAAGGTACCTGCAACTTCATTTTGTGTTTCAGGAAAAATAACAGAGTTGCTTGTGAATGCCAGATTTAAAGAAAAAGGCATGTATATTCTAGAAGAAGGTTATGACAACAACTGCAACATTTAACAATAAATCTTATCAGAAAACATGGGAATCCTGCTTGACAGTGCTTGGTCATTGTGTGTGTAACTCCCAGTTCCCAGCTGATAAAGTTCTTAAGACCTTTTGGTCTCTGTGAAGTAATCAATTGGGAAATTAAGTTCCTCCTTTCCTCTTACATGGTTGAAAATAATTTTCAAATGTGTTCAATCATTATGTGAGTGATGTACCTCTGAGCAATGACAGAGATAACACAAAAGCTTGTGCTTATAAGACTACGTATTTCCTGTCTTGGTGAGAAAATATACTGCAACAGTGTGAAGTCGTTCTTCTAATTTATGAAAGCTGTCAGATCATTTTAAGACCAAAGAGAAAAATGCGATGATTCTACTGTTTTCTTTGGGAAGGTGACAGATAAAAACAGTGTGTTCTTTCTGTTTTGAATTTCCTCTGATGTTCCACTCTTTTCTTGAGTGGGAGAATACAAACAGCACTTCTGAGCAGAATTTTGTGGAGGTGTATGTAAATCTTAGAAACCTGTTGTAGTGTATGAAATATTTAATTTGTTATACCTGGGTTTTCAGAATCTATGGAACTGACTTGGAAAATTCAGAGAAAAATGCTTTTTGTACTCTTGAAGCTGCTAATGTCTATTTGGATTGTGTTTTCAAGATTCTTTTCATTACAGTCTTGAACTTAAAAATTTTGCATTTAAAAAGAAAACTGCACCACTACTTCTTAAATCAAATCTTGAGAGAACCTTAATACAGTTAGGAAAGCTACATTGGAAGTAGCTGAAATGATCAGTTCCACTTCCAATGCTGTTAGAGAAATGACATTTTCTGGAATTTTCTTTATCTTGGAGAAGGAAGACAATTTCAATCTGATTTATTTTACTCTCTTGCAACATGTATCTTTGCAGACATGGAAGGCATCATACAATTATGCCATCGAACGTCAATTACCGTGCCAATATCTGGGCATTAAAAGAAGAAAATTGTTCACATGTATTAGTGACTACTGCCTGTGGCTCATTACGAGAGGAAATACAACCTGGTGATCTTGTCATAATTGACCAGTTCATTGACAGGTGAGTAACATTGGTTTTAACTGTGTTCTTAGTTTTGGAGGAGAAAAAAGGGGACAAGTGGGGTTAAACCATATAATAACATGTTAATGTTAAATTAAGTTTTTGTGGAATGAGGTGATAGCCTCAGTTCTTATGGCAAAAAGTGAGATTCATACAAGAAGACGTGATAGGAAACAGGAATGAAATTACAAGAAATTCAGGGCTAACAGGCGTAGATGAAATACCAGGCTTTGAAGAATGACCTCGAATGAACTAAAGTATAGCTCCTTGGGAAGAGTCTTCTGAAGAGAAGATATATCCTCCTCTCAGATGTGGGAGAGGAACATGGATAAAAGCACAGGCTGTTACAAGTTTTAAGAAGAATCTGAAATGAGATGGGGGCGTGCAAGAAGGCATCGTAGGAGCCAGGTAGGAAAATTTATGCAGTAATAATGAGGCTCTACAGAAGACAGATCAAATGCAACACAGCAGGAAAAGAAAGGAGGTTGTTTTAAAATGAGGATAGATGCTAACATTTTCTATTTGCTAAGAATCATAAGGAAGTAAATTTTTTCCAAAGTCTCTGTACTCCAGTCAGTCGTCCCCTCCTTGATTATCTGATGTTTAGAAAAATTCAAGCAAACGGGGGAGGGGAGGAGGGAAGCTATGTTTAAAGATTGCCAAGCACACCAAATATTTAAAAAATAGTTGCACATTTTAAGAGGTAAATTTATTATTAGTACTTAGGGGTGTACTATATCTGGAAGTCCTATTTGAGTATTCCACCCAATTTTAAGTGTTTGGAATGGTTTGTGCAACTTCTTTGTGCTTTGTGGGGCTGCTGGCAATATTTCTTTGCCAACTGAACATGTATACCTAGGTTTGTTCTCTGCAGTGCAGTGCTATTCAAGTTTTGACTTACTGACATTTTTGTGTGTGTGTAGCTGAAATGCTCTTTTAAGAGAGTACATTTTAAGCAGAGTGTATCTAAATGACTAAGCACCCTGCAGGAGCAATCCCCATATAAACTGCTTCCTGTTATACTAGAGTTGATTTATGGGTGGAGAGCAGCTGTATTGCTGACAGTGGTTTTTTTTTTTTTTTTTTTTTTCAAGTCTAAAAGTATTTAGGCTGATCACTTTGTTTATACAGATTAAATCATAATCATCCTTATTCTGCCAGTAGTACTTTGAAAGGAGTAATTTTAGTATCAATATTGATTTGTATAGGAAAGATACTAAACATACTTCCGTACACGGTTTGGATGATTGTGAGTAAAGCACCAGTTATTTTGACAGCATTATCATCTAGCAGACTCCTAAGTAGGTAAGGGGAGCCTAATCGTGCTAAGCTGTGAATTGCATGCATAGTAGGAAGTAGCCTCTGGCCCAGAGAGTCTGCAGTTTTAAACAAGAAACAGTTGGAATGATTGCAATTATTATCTGCTACGGATGAGGGGTGGAAGTATGGAGAAACTAACTTTTGCAGAGGTCAGGCAGAAAGACATTAACAGAGCCAGGAAATGAACCCAGATATGAAATCGGAGACCATCCGTCATCCAAAATGTCACTATCAAAATTAAAAATTAATTCTGAAGCTACCTAATCTCTTCCCGCAGCTTTACATTTCCCAGCATTTGCCAGTCTGCATCAAAACTTCTGAGCTGGAAAGGAAATAATCAGCTTGGTTAAGTTTGGGTTTTAAGGACATGTCCCTTTCAAGAAGGAAAAAAAATAGGGGAGTGTTATACAACAAATCAGTATATTTATCTGATGAGAAGATGAGTGAAAGGACAGGGTTCATTTACATTGCAGCAAAGAAGGCAAAGTATCTTGGGCTGTATTAGTAGGGGTGTTGCCAGCAGGCCAAGGGAGGTGAACCTTCTTCTCCTCTACTCAGCACTGGTGAAGCCACACCTGGAATACTGTGTGCAGTGCTGGGCTCCCCAGTGCAAGAGGGACATGGACATACTGGAGAGAGTTCAGCAAAGGACCACGAAGGTGCTGAAGAGACTGGAGCATCTTTCCTATGAGGAAAAGTTGAGAAAGCTGAGACTGTTCAGCCTGGAGAAGAGAAGACTCAAGGAGGATCTCATCAATGGGGAACCTGAAGGGAGGGTGCAAAGAAGGTGGAGGCAGGCTCTTTCCAGTGGTGCCCAGTGACAGGACGAGAGGCAATGGGCACAAACTGAAACACAGGAGGTTTCCTCTGAACATCAGGAAACACTTTTTCACTGTGAGAGTGACAGAGCACTGGCACAGGTTGCCCAAGCAGGTGGTGGAGTCTCCCTGCTTGGAGATATTCAAAAGCTGCCTGGGCATGGTCCTGGGCAACCAGTTCTAGGTGGCCCTGCCTGAGCAGGGGGTTGGACCAGGTGACCTGCAGAGGTCCCTTCTAACCTCAACCATTCAGTGATTCTGTGAACTGCGTTTTCATTTAGACTTTATTCAGGCGGTCACCAGTAGTAATGACATAGCCCATATATGAGCAGTGTTTCATTTGGGCAAGTAAGTTTTCATTTCGATGTAGAAGAGTGGGACCTTGTGGGGACTTGTTTCATGGCTTTAGGAAACCAAGAAGCTTCTTAGAAGAGCATATGTCTCAGTGTGGAAAACAATATGTAATATGAATTTAAAAATCATTACTAGCTTGCCCTTTAATTCAGAAAACTGACAAGTCATAATAGTCTGTTTCCTTTGACAATTGATTTCTGTGAGAAGTCTTTTTCCCCGGTGATCTTTGCCAGTGGGTGTTAGACTGCTGGTTCTTTGGATGTAGGGTCTGCATTTTTGCCTTTCAGATGGGTGTATCATCTGTAAGAGTGATTGTATTATATGTCATAAATCATTATGAAAGCAGCACTGCTGATGGGAAGGTAATTTCGTGGGACAAAACGATTATTTGTCCACCAAAGTCTGAAAAGATGCAATTTTTCTGAAATACCTTCTACTGAAAGATTAGGGTCCTGCAAGCAAACTACATCAACAGTCTTGGAAAAAAGGTACTGGTTAAAGCTGCAAAAACAGTCGGGTATTTTTCTTGAAAGGTACCCTGGCTTCTATATAGTTATTAACCCATACCAGGTACTACATAGCAAAGAGGCTTGGGTCTAGGTGGGAAGGATTTGCTCAAGCTGCCGTTAAAATCAGTGCCTTCCAGGTGTCCAGGTACCTTTTGGTATCTGGGCTCTACTTCTCAGTAGGGAGCATATCATTACTCTCCTTCTGGGTGTGAAGCAAGAAGAAGGAATAGTGAATGGGAATGGGAGAAGACCTAGAAATTAGCAGAAAGCTGTAGGCACAAATTGTAATTTGCTCCCCTTGGGCATGTACACTGTGGCATTAATGACAGAATCTCAATATATGAAGTTGTGTAGGACTTCTACCTAGTTTAGAGCATAGGTTTGACTTACAGTGAGGAACACTGAATAGGTGTAGTAAGAACTATGTAGCAGTTCCAAACTTTTGAGAGCTTAGTTCTGCAGATCATTAGCACTACTAGTGAGTGGTTTGGTATATAGTCTCTGCTTTCTTCAGGCTTATCTATTAGTTTGTATCTTTAAGCAATAAAAGATACATTTTGTTAAGTAAGTACCAAAATATTTACATGGTGTTCTCCCTACTTCGAAATACAAAAGTAACCACAGGTACTATTATGGGCTACAACAGTTGTTCTCTTCTTTGAAACAAGTGCCTAAAAAAAATCTGGAAGAATTTTTTTTTTATGTCTTTGGCTCCTGTTAGTTTATTACAGTGCTGTTAGTCAACTGGCTAGATCAGACTGATTAGGGGCTTTTTAATACTTTCTGTTTGGTTTGCTGCTGATGTTTGCTAAGAAAAGAAGAGTAAGAAGGTAACTACTTACTTGGATGACTCAGCTCAGTCAGGAAGATGCAGAAAATAGCTTCGTAAAAGAAATCCTATAACAGCTGCCAACTTTATTGTTTGAATTCTTTGTGTGACATACACCACTACTCTGTAACATTTTTCATGGGAGAATTTTCTTTCATTGTTCCCAAGGAGGCAGAGCTTGCTGGGGCTGGTTTTTATACAGCAGATGCCAGTGTGAATTTTCATTTTGTTCTTTAATTACTAATAACCTGTTGATAATTCAACGCTACTGGAAGAAAGGGGAAGATGATGATGCAAGTGGTAGAGTACTGTTTGTCACAGATGGAAATGAATGGTTTGTTCACTTACTTGAGTTGGATTTTGCTTCCTAGCATCAGCCATAGTCAGCATTGCCAGAAAATCTTGTGTTACTGTGATAAAATCAAAATGAAGGAGCAAAACCCACTTTACTGTCTGATTAAAAGTGTGGCTATTGCTGCAAGGTGGGGAATACAAACTCTTAGCACACCTTCAAAACTGCAGTACACTCAGCTCTGAATCTGAAAAAGCAGTAAGGGCAAGGCAGGCATGGTAAAACTATGCAACAGTGCAAGGGTTTGCTTGCGCTGTGAGTACCACTGTCTCCTTGAGCTTGATACACAAGCAGTTATGCACAAAAACATACATCCCCCTTTCCCAGGGAGAGAATTCCCTTTTCTCCTGTACCACTGCCCACTGTTTGGCACAGGTTGGGTACACTGGGGGTTCTCCGTAGAGCCCTACAAAGGTCAGATGGCCAGCAGGAGCTGTGCAGCCCCAGCTCTTAGCTGCTTCCTTGTAGTTATCAGTCCAGTGCTTTCAAGTGCTGCTTCTGATCTCACCCACTGGGGGCATCTCTGTACTTTCCCTTTATGCTATCCTTGAGCCGTCTGGATTGTGCGCTTCTACTATGAATAGTGTGGCTAGTTTCTAGGCAGGCACTTGGTGACTGCTTCCTGTTTTAATGTCAACAACCAGGCAGTTGTGTAACATTCAGTCGTGCTCTGTTGTTAAGCAGGCCCTCCTTCTGATGGAGGGCATACGGACTTCTCTACATTAAAAACTGTGAGATCTAAGGAACAGATTGTCTTTGAAGAGTGCCTGTTGAGTTCCTTATATCTTGTTTCCTGCTGATTCCATAAGGAGTCACGTGGGGTACGTGGGGAAGGTCTTGAAACTCCTGTGAAAAGAGGAGCCTTAGGCAGATACTGTCCTTTGCTCTCTGGCTCTTGGTCTCTGTGAGAGTAAGGCAAGAAAAGCATCTGTGGTTTTGTAACCTTTGTTCTCTTTGCAAGGGATGCAGAGGAGCGGTATTGCAGTGGTGAAAATTATGTGCTGCTGCCCTGTACCTTGCAGACAGGTGCGTGGGACAGATCAGGATGGCCAACTCCTGACCGGAGTAACAGGGCTACAGAAATGAGGAGAGGCTAAAAGGCATTCCTCTGTGACAGCCATCAATTCACAGGTAGCAAGAATCAAAGATTGGTTCAAATCTGCCTTTATTCTTGCCCTAAGCCTAGGAACTTACAGACACATCAGCTGGCCCCATATCGAATAGCTGTGGCCTTTGCAAAGTTGCAGCTTTCCATGCAGAAGAGAAGTTGTTGCACTCCGAGTACAAATACATGTGGTCTGTTGCTCAGAGCAGTCATAGATCTTACTGTTGTTACTTATTCCCATGCAGTTTGTATGTATGGTGCTAAACATAGTGGGATTTCTTTATTAGACCATGTAGTGATGCGGCCATTCTCTCCAAAGAACACAGGGTATCTGAAAGTCAGAGATTAATATTTATACATACGTGATCTTTCCTCAGGGCTTTTCTGAGTGAAAGGGCCAGACTAAAAACATCTGAAATATTATAATGCAGGAAATGGATGATGACTTTTCCCATTTCCTCCAATTCTAAACAATTCATTCGCAGACACTGAAAAAAAGTGTGTAAAATCGGATACATTCTATTTGCAGCTCTTCAGTATCCCATAAAGGAAAAATTAAAATTAGCGTTTCAACCGATTTTAACAGCTGTATCCCATTTTGCATATGTTTTTAATCTGCTGATCTCTCTTCCTATTTTATAACCTCACCTTTAAGGCTACCCTATTGTTTTGGGGGGTTTTTTTAAATCTACTCTAACATGTAACTTGTATTTAAAACCTTCTTTTAAATATTTGCTGGTGACTTAGGTGAGGAACTGTTGTGAGCAGTATTACCAGCAGAAATTTTGTATTTTAACTGTGAATTGAATTTGGCTGTTGGCTTACTTTTCTCCTATAAAGTACAATATGTGACACGCTGGGGCGAAGAAGAGAATGTCTCAACGAATTTTGTTCCAGAAGGTTTTCGCCATCCAGTTGGCTGAATCAGCTTGAGGCAGTGCATTTGAAGGTAAAGTGATAGTGGGTAACAGTTCCAGTTGTCAAAATGGCATGCTGGATGGTAATTTCTGCAGCATGTTTGACCATTTTCATGCAAGCAAACAGTTCCTCAATTGAAAGAAGGGAGAAAAAGGATTTTTCTACTTGCAAGCTGCCAATGCATGTGTGTAATCTTTCTGAGAATATGAAGGCACCCTGTTCCAGGGTTTTTCTCTGGGTTTTGAATTCATACCTCTTTTGTTCAGGAAGCTGTTCCTATAAATTCCCATCCTTTCAATGTAGGAATGCAATGATATGAACAAGCTCTATTTTGACAAGCTTTGTGGTAATTCAGACTTGATTCCTTCCCTTCCTGAAAGCTTATTGTGCTCCTTTTTTCAGAGATTACTTGCCTGACTATTAAATTTAGCTGATTTCTTTTGGGTAGAATCGCAGCATAATGTAGCTGTTTGTGTCATTTAGGAGCAAATAAGCACTTCAGTGTTTTGTTAACAATAGATTTTCTCTAATTAATTGACAATGCAGTACTGGAGTAACAGTTTTATTTTTATACTCTTGAGCTCAATTCTGAAAGGTTTGTACAGAGGCAAAACAGGATTACAGGTGGTCATTAATATCATACTGATACTTTTGTTCCCTCGCAGGTATGCTATGTTTTCTGAATTGTGTAAATTTCTTGCTTTCTCTTCTGTTTCCTTCCCACTCTTCTCCCTAAGCATGTTTTCTACTTTTCTAGGACAACTAAAAGACATTGTACTTTATACGATGGGCAACATTCCTCTCTTCCAGGAGTATGTCATATTCCAATGGCAGAGCCGTTCTGCACCAAAACCAGAGAGGTTAGTGAATTTTATAATAGTATTTAGAAATGGGGTTTTTTTACGGCACTTACTCATGATATAGTACTCTAATTATGCATTCTTAGTATACAGAGGTAATCTGCACGTCTTTATTCCCATTTCTCAGATATATATGATGGTATTAAGGAAAAATATAACATTTGGAAGGCATGGAAAGTAAAAGATCTTGTGTCTATAGGAGCTGTCTTCCTAAGGGAGATATGCGGAAGATGTCAGTTGGCAACCTAGATTTCCCTGGGGTCTTAATAACAGGACAAAAGATCTTTATTTATCGGGTAACAAGCCAAGAGAGGAACAAAGTGGATAAAGCAGGAAGATAGAATTAGGAATTAGTTCCTTTTTGTTCTGAATAAAACTGCACCTATGGTAGAGACACTTTACATACTTAATACAAAAATTGAATAAATAGTACTTTAGCATTCACAGAAATTACAATATTGCATTTGTGCTTTCATGCATTGTAGCAGTGGGTGGTGGTGAAGAGTCAAGACTTAGTTTAAAGGATATTAAATGTAGAAACAAGCCAAATTACAGTAGGCTTTTATTCTTAACTGTTACTCTTAGTTTTGTCACTTCAAGATTTTCAGGCTTCAAAACAGTTAGACTAAGCAGTGTGAAACACTGCTCTATTTTTCAGCACCTTTATAAGCTTCTGGGGGGGAGTGTATCTGTGATTAAATATGCCAACTTAGTGTATTCTTAGACCTGAGGAAAAGAGAAGGTGAAGATTGAACTGCGTACTTTGTGCTGTTGTGGAATGCTCTGATGAGAAGCTGCAAGGAGGTACATTCTCCAGGGGCACAGGAATGCTTACAGAATCAGTCATATCCATCTAAGAGACGCAGTTACTGCACTGAGCAGGACAAAGCTGAATTGTGAAGCAGGTGGCCCAATCTGTACCCAGAGCATGTACAAATATTTGTACTACTGAGCAATGAAGTAAAGACATTTTAAATCTCATGAGGAAACAAACTACTACATATTATACATGTGCATGCTTTTGCCCTTCATAATTTGAGCAGCAAATTAGGCAAAACACTTTGCATTTTTCATGCAACAAGAGCCTATCACATGCTTTTACTGAAGATTAGTTAGCATATGGTTGCCTACTGACTTTGAGCACGATGTCATGTCACAACAGATTCAAGGCGTTTATTGAGAGCTAACTGTACACTTTCTGAAATGGTTTAAAAACAGTGTTATTACTGAAGTGATTGGCAGTACTTCACACTGTGTCTCTTTCTTCTTTTTTAAAAAAGGTAAGCAGATGTGCATAAGCCATTTCCTGAGCTTGCAGGAAACATACACCAAGGCTAGTTTTCATTCGATTGTTAAGTAGCTAGAGACAGTGTTCTTTGGGTATTACATTTTTCTAAAAGCCAACAGAGAAATGCTCCTTTTCAAACAGAGAAAAAAACATTTAGGTACTTCCCAGTCTCACATGTGATCATTATCTCATTAGCCTATGGGTTCTAATCAGCCTAACAGATGTTTTAAAGAACATGTGGTTTTGAGGTCTTAGTGAGGCTGAAAAGGGATACTTTCACTTAATTTGAAAATACCAGATAAAAGTGACTTAAACTTTTTCCTGGAACTATCCCTGAAAATTGTTTGGATCATTTCAGCCCAGTTTATCCTAATTCAGGGGAATTTCATAGATAAATGCAATAATAATAAACCCAAAACTATTAATGTAATAGACTATTTAAGGAATTTTGCATTAGAACATCTGAAAACTTTATATTAAATTGTATTTGTGCAAATACAAGAAAATACTCTGGTTTACTTGGCTTATGCACTGTAAGTTAAATGAGAATCTGAAAGGAGTTTATCTTTTCTCCAACTGCAATTTTTTTAATAATGTAGGGTGCCTTTGTTATTACTGTTTTCCAAAACTGGGCCTCACTGCAATATCTTATAGGGAGTGAAGTTGGAACTTTGTAAAAAGTTTCGGGGAAATACTGTTCAACTGTGGTTTAAGTCAAATCACAGCTGAACTTATCTATTGATATATTAGCAATGTCTAATTAACTGGCTATCAGTGAATCATATATTCAGAATTAATATCAGCAATAAACCACAATATTAGGTGTAATTAATATTAGATTAACTTACAGCATGTTAATAAACACCTACAAATTTCTAAGTGTCATTCTGTGGCTAATCCCCAGAAGCTCTGCTTTACCCCTATGCGCATATTCACGCAGTTGCATGCACAAATACCCTTCCCCAGCACATGTGGGTTACATGCATACCCACCCTCTTCGGGAGTGCAGGTTTACCTGTTCACATGCATCTGCAGTGGGAGATGTGGGTACTTGGGCTTTATGTGTGCTTTTACTCCTCCACACAATCCACTGATACACGTTCCAGCGAGGAGACACCTCACAAGGTCACACAGTACACTCGAGGTATTGCTGCTTGTAGCACCCGTGTATGACAGGTTGACCAACCAGCTGGAGTGCAGGCTTTGCACAGTGTTTTGCTCCGCCTGGCCTGTGTGAAGGTCATGATGCTGACAAGTCAGCTTCTAGTGGTGTCAGACTAGGTTTTCACCGCTGCTGTGTTGTGAAGGTCTCTCCTGTCCTGTCACAAATTTTCATGGTGCTTTTATACTTATTTTCAAGCGTTTCTTTTCTGTTGATGGTCATTTTAAACAGGTGTCATCATAGTTACTTTCCCCTTCCTACTCAGGACAGTTATGGGTGTCCTAGTCCCATTTACACATGCTGGTACACTCTTATTCCTACTGTATCGACTGGTGTTACCCAGGCCATTTACCAAGAGAGAAAGTCATGATGATGCTGCCATATACAAGGTCCTAGTTGGAACTGTAAAGACTAATGTGAAGTACATGGTATATGTAAAGTGCACAGCTCAGTCACTGACATGGGAAAATGTAGTAATAATTTCTCTACAGATTCCCAGGGTACTCTTTGAAGTACGTGCTTGTAAAGTTTTACTTTCAAAAAGTAAATTTCCTATTACTGTTCTCACCAGCTCAACTCCACCATGTGGTAATGTAGCGCTCAATGGAGCGTTTTCACCATTCTATTCTCAAGGTAAGCACAGCCTAAATATCATGCAAAAATCTTCTGTTTTCCAATCTTCTTGATCTGCACTGAAAACAATAATCCAACTGATACTAACAAACTCAGATATCATTCCTGTTAGTAGGACTATTAATTTCTCTTGCTGGATGAGGAAACTGAAACTGATCCTTGGTTTTGGACAGCTGTAGCCCTGAAAAGCTTGACTGCTTTGTATAAAGCTAATTTCTTTTGTATATAAGTTTTTTGATGGAATGCAAAAGCAGTGCACCAGGGGAATTGTTTCCTTTTCCCGATATTGGCCTCTTTTGCAGGTTCTTATTGAGACTGCCAAGAAGCTTGGGCTCCAGTGTCATTCCAAGGGGACAATGATCACAATCGAAGGCCCACGTTTCAGTTCTCGAGCGGAAAGCTTGATGTTTCGCAGCTGGGGAGCTGATGTTATCAACATGACCACAGTGCCTGAAGTGATTCTTGCGAAAGAAGCTGGAATGAGTTATGCTAGTATTGCCATGGCAACAGATTACGACTGCTGGAAGGAACATGAAGAAGCAGTGAGTGAAGCTTTTTTTCCTCTGGGTCTTGTCCTGAGGGATCTGGATGAGAACCTGTAGGTTTTGATAAGAGATCACATACTGAACTAAATCTGTTCTTACTTAGATCAGTATCACTGAGTTATTCTGGATGAACAATTGTGAAAGTAAGAACGTAAAGTAAGAAGAAAGAAAGTAATTGTTGCTACCTCATTCATTTTCATAAACTTGCTTCACTACTAGCAAACCTTTTATCTCCTCTTGTCTGAATCATGGAGTCTGTATGAAGCTCATGAGCTCTGTGTATGAGCTTGTCCTCCCATAATTGGTCTAGTGTTTTTTTCTTTTGCAGCTCTCTGCAAAATGATGTATCTGCTTTAGTTCTCCTATTTGTGTAAAATACGATCAGACATAAAGCCACAGAGGAAAGAAGTTTTTAATGGCTGAAAAGATTGTGGCATTTTAAGGCTTCACCTTAATGATTTATTTGGGTATTTAAAATGTGTGCCATCAAAATTGAGAGGCAGCACTCAGTTTTATTGTGTTTCTAGGTGTCAGTGGATAAAGTTTTGAAGACACTGAAAGGGAATGCAAATAAGGCTACTAGCATACTCCTTACTGCTATACCTCAGATAGGTTCCATGGAATGGACCGACACCCTGCACACCCTGAAAGTAAGTACACACATGAGGCTGATGAGTACTGGGGACAGTGTATGCATATGTACACATAATACAGGTATATGTTCCAAGATGTTTCTGCTGAAATCATAAGTTCTTAGAGTAGATGCTTCAACAAACCAAATCCTTTCAAGATGGGCAAACAAATTCATTAAGACTCTCACAAGCTTTATTGCAAAGATCTAGCTTCCGTTTCAAAAGAAATGTTACAAAAGGTAAAAAAAAAATAAGGACATCTGTGTATGGTTGATGAAGTGTTACCCTTCATAGCACAGGTAAGGTACAAAATTATGTGAGTATCCAAATGAAAAACCTGTACCTCCACTCAGCTTTAGCTTAGATCTTAGAACAACAGAGACCCAAGCGGAGAAGACTGAACCAAACCAGAAACATTATGCTTTCTTTAATATATAAAAGGAGAGGAGTCTGTTACAAGATACAGGTAATAACCAGACTGAAATTATTAGAACTGTGGTCTTCCACAGGTTTCAGATCCATAGGGCATGAAAAAAAAAAATTAAAAAGAAAAACATTTCAAAATATATTGGTGAAGGAATTTTTAGGCAGACTTTTTCTTAGGCAAGAGTTTACTTACATGTTTTATATCAACTCTATTTCACAGGTATGCTTGAGGTTCATATGTGGCTATAACATAGAAGGAAAGAACAACGTTAAAATAGTTTGGGTGTCTGTCGAGCTTCTTGACAAGCTTTTTGTGACAAGTAGCCACTTCCAAGAGTACAAAAGCGTGAAGCATGAGAGCAACTGAGGATTATATTGAGATGGTATGGGAGACAGGGAAGGAGAATTGGAATATGAAAGGCAAAGAGCAGACAGAAGTGGGCCACAAGGATCTCTGTTAGTGGAAGCAGCAGCAGTCTGAAAAGGAGGAAACTTTTGAGAGAGTCCAGTCTCTGATAACTCTCTCCTGTCTTAGGTTCTTTCTCTTTTCACTGTGTTGACTGAAATTTGAATGGGTAAGAAAGATGAACACAGATAATAAGTCATGTCTTCATATCTCTGAAAGTGTGTCCTTGAAATTCAACTATCAACAGAACTGTATATGCTGTAAAAATCTTCCATGTCTTCTGATTGGGATAAAATTTTCAGTTTTGTTTCCAGTATGGTTCTCTTGTCAGTGACTCTCATCTCTAGTTTAGTCAGTGTCCTAAAGGAAAGACATATTAAGCAAAATTCACCTCAGACACTTTTAAGCATACTTGACCAGGTCAGGTTCATGGAGGTCCAACCCTGAGTCTTTTGCTAATTCTTCACTAGAAAACCTAATTTTATTAGGAAGCCTTGGATTATGTTTATGACTATTCCTCACCCAGTTATCTGAAACAGCTATTTTAATGTTTGCTCTATACAATTGTGAGACGCAACAAACTTTTCCCTTTGCAGTGTTTAGGAAGTTGTGTCATGGATGGGTAAGGGGGGCAACAGAATCAGTATTCCCTCTCCACTCTAATCCACAGAAAACATATTCAGAGGGCTGGGCCACACGTTTTTTTTAATACAGATGCCTAGCTATACTTGTTCAGAGTTTGAACAAGTAATCTAAAAAATGTGCTAGATATTCCTCAACTACTTTGGCCATGCTAGCATGGAAGGAAATTTCCCAGGTATATAACGCTGCTTAAGTAATGAGGGATCTGCCTCCAATTCTGGTGGGTGTACTTCAGTAAGCAGTGTCCTGTTGGTTTTCCCTTGCATGATTGTCGTGATTCTTCATTGAGAGTGAAAGAGCAGGTGACTGGAAAGAGCTGGCACTGAGTTTGCAAGATTGCCCTTTAACGAACGCTAACCCTTCTTTCATTTCATTGTCAGCTGTTTAAAACACCAATGCAAGTGCTTCCTCCAGCTCCGTCCCTGAACTACTATTTGCTGAAAGAAAATATGATGCACCAGAGGAAGAGTCACTCCATTCTAATGTAGCTTCTTACACTCTTTCTCTTAAGCATCTGCTACTGCCGGGTATCAGTGATGCGTATTGAGATAGTTTCACTTGGGCTTGGCAACTCTTACATGTTTATGCTCTTTGCTGATAGTGGCTTGGTCTGAGTGATAATATACTGAGAAAGGGAGTTGATCTGAAGACATTAGAAGAACTGGAAACAGGAACTAGGTATTGGCAGTGAGGACTGAGATTTTATGTCAGGAGAGTAGGAGTCAATTGGTTTTGATTTAACACAATGAAGTACACTGGAAAAGTGACAGGGAAGTCTGAGGCTTTGGAGGCTTCCTCTGATTTTACTTAGGAAGGGCAGGAAAGGCTACAAATCTTTCTGTTTGAGGCATTAAATGGTGGTAGAGTAGATGAAGGATTTGTCCTAGGCTTCTGTGTTAATGAGTAAAGACAGAGGCAATTTTGCAATACAGCAAAGAGAGAGATGCGTGTATGTGCCTCCGTATGAGTGCATACAAGTGTGTAGTTGAACCATAAAGAGTTTTAAAAAACTATTCTCTTTGTTGATTTGAAGTGTTCTTCTGTATATTTTACTCTGGGAATTTTGAAAGTCAGATGATGGGTTTTTTGAACTGATATTTCTGAGGCACCTTTTTCTAGAGCTTGAAGGCAGCTCCTCTTGCATGCCCTGTGGTAATGCGGTAAGGAACACAGACAAGGAGGGAGCTGAGCAAGACTGCATCTGGTACTCTGCTGTCAGTGATGATGTAAAGCCATGCCAGCCTATATCCAAGCTGCAGCTGGGCATCTCAAATGGACATTTGCCAGTGTCTGTTTCCAGTGTTTGGGAAAGCATGTGAAGCTATGAAGTTCTACATGGACACAGCTTTTCCTTTCTGAGCTCTGTAATCTGGCTGCTGTGACTGGAGGAACTTCACCAGGCAGGAGAAAACATGCTGCCAGTCTCTTTGCCCACCTGCATTTACCTATCTGCTCCCATGGCGGTATATATCCCACCCACCCACACATGTGGTGATGTCACCTCTGAATCTCACAGTGGTCTTTAGGAGACCCTGGAGTGTTGAAACAAGAATGTCCAAGGGCTTTTTTTTTGCTAAAGGATAGGCTGCCTGCCATCCATTCCTTTTCATGTGTCTTTTCATCTGTGATACGCCAGTGAGTTTAAGTGTAGTTTGAAAGTTACTATTTTTTAACTGCCTAAGATGTCTTTAGGCCAGTATTTCCTGGCTCTGTTGCTGTGAAAAGAGATCGTTCTCCAGGTTTAGGTTACATAAGCTTGAAAAAAATGTTTGGAGCAAACTTTTCTGCGGGCACAGCATCTATCTAGAGCCTGTCATTTTGAAGCATGGCCAGGGTACAAAGCCCTTGCTCTTTCAGAACAAAGTATGACCACATTGTATTTATGTCACGGATCAGGAGACACAGATGATGCTGTTGATCACAGTGATTTCTGGCTGGTGTCAGGGAAATTTCTGGATAGGAGGGTCAACCATGGGTGATATACAGCTGGATCTGCTGTTCACTGAGAAGAGTTGTTTAGTGAGGTGACAAACAGTGGCAGTTGTTGCTTTAATTCTCATGAAATAGTGGCTTTCCACACCCTATAGGGAGCAAGGACGGCAAGTAGCAGAGTACAGATGCTGGAGTTCCGGTAAGCGTACGTGGGTTTAACCAGTGAATCATCTCATGGGCAGCAGCTCTGAAGGGGCAAGGAGCTCCAGAAAGCTGGCAGGTCTTTAAGGGCAGCATTCTCTAAGCACAGGGGTGATCCACAGAAAGACCAACTGGGAGACTGACTTGGCTAAACAGGAAACAGAGCTCCAGTGTGAAAATGCAGCATTCAAGGGTTGGAAGCAGGGACAAGCTACAAAGAAGGAATCCAGAAGCAAGAGCAGGCATGTAGGGTTGATTTCAGGAAAACCAGACCTTGCCTGTAGTTGACACTTCGAAGGGACGTCAAAGGCAACAAGAATTTCAGCCACTGCCTTGATATCAAAAGCTGATCAAGTAAAATGTGCACTCATTGCCTAATGAAGTAAACAAATTAGTGACAGCAGACAATTTCAAAAGGGAACCAGTATAGTAGATTATTTTTTATCTTTGTTAGGAAAAGTATTGGTGAGAGAGGAAAAACTGTCTTGTTGAAAAGAATTGTAACTCATAACAACTGGCAATTGAGCTCTGTACCTTTATTAGAGTAAGGTTCAACCCCATGAGGATTGGGAGAGCGTCTGTACTGGGATGGTAAAAGGAATGTCATGTTAGAACTGATTTTTCTTACAGCGTGGGTGTAAGAAAATCAGCTTGTGGTGAGGTGTCAGAGCTTCTGTGAATGCTCCTCAGGTAAACTTTTTGACTCTGTGAGGAGACCTGCTGATAGTACCTGCCGTTTTTTGAACTTCTGTACTAGCCTATGTGAAATGGTATTTGTCAGACCTCTGATACAAGGAATAATGTTGTTTTTTGGTAAGAGACCTGTGGTAAGTGAATACTGTGGGATAGTTTAGATTGGGTAAGGTATCTGTAGATGTGTTTCAGCACACTTCATCATTGACATACTTGGACTTTTAATATGTTTCGTAGCTAAAAAGTTGAAGGACATAAAGGTTAACATTTTTCATCCATTTTTTCTAGTCTATCATGAACTGAAACTGGCATCATATGTTATGAATATAGAGCTCTGATCTAGTAAATATTCTTGAGTAATTTTCTTCCTCAAAAAATACTTCAATGAAATCAGTGAACATACTTATGTGACTAGGGTGAATCGGCTCAGGTGAATAAGGTGGAGGGGAAAAACTCATTGGGGCTTCACTTCAACTGTAGTTGCATTGGTCTACATACTGTGGTCCTTGCAGGCTAAGGACCTCTCAGGAAAGCTGAGATTGAAATGTTTCTCAGGTCCTACCCTTGAATGAGGCTGATGTCAACGTTGGCTGTCCCTGCATAACATGAGTATTTCATTTACTCCCAATCAGGGCACCTTTAGAGAAAGGTTTCTGTTCTTGATAGCTGTACTTCAAAATTGATGAAGAAACATGTAGAAATCACTTTTGTAAAGGAACTTCATTTTCAGAGCTTTCTGATTAATATTTGTAAAGAGCTTTCTATGAATGTGATGTATGTAAGCCAGTATGCTAGCCTTAAAAACAAAAAGCAAGCTGCACAATTTGTCATTTGTAGCCTGTGATCCCGAAGTCCTTAATTTAGTGTTTCTGCAATCTGATTGTTGTTCTCAATACCAATAAGCCTGTTACATAGATACAAAGTTGTAATGACAAGTCCTTGAACTGTTGTAGCGTATGCCCTCCCTGCAATTCTTTTAATTTTTGTGGTGTTGGAGGAAGTTGGAGATACTATCAACATGGAAAGAGTTACACATGTTTGTAATCCAAATGGAAGCAATGTAGTCTGCCTTTATGTTGAAAAGTAATTCTGCTCTGCATTGGCAGAGGTAGCATTCATCTACTTTGGCTTTGTATTTCAGACAGCAGTGCAGTGTTCAGTCCTCCTGCCAAAGCAGTAACAACCTGGATGGACTTTGAAGTTTGGGTGCTCACAAGGAAGAGTGGATCACTTTCAAACTTCCAGAGTTTATAATATCTTCAAGAGTCGTTACAAGTGTAAAAGAATGGAGTAAACGTTGACCGATGATAATGTATAAGACAGCTTTTGTAACCTTTATCATGCTTCATAATGTATAAGATGGCTGAATTTAGATTTTTGAGTATGTTTTAAACCAGGAATAGCCTTACTGTCAAGCTGGATCAGGCAGTGGCCGAAGAAAAAAGTCAGCAGCAAGTTGTCATCCTCTATTCAGTGATACCTTTAGTTGATGGAAGAAAGGAAAGACTAGGTAATACTCTGTTGCAATTTTGTAAGATATAAGAAAGCAGATTCACAGGTATGCTATTTGCTTTGCAATTTCTGCCTCCCATCTTTTCCTTTGACAAGGCAAATGGTTACAGTTCACTCCAGAAACATACCAGAAAAACCAAACAGGCCATTTCAAATTATACTATTTTTATACATTATCCGTATTTTTTATTTCAGTAGGGTTTTTTTAAAAGCAGTGGGGTTTGTTTGTGTGCTAGAAGACATGGTTTAATAACTGTGGTTCTTTCAGAGCAGCAGTTGTGTAATGAATGAATGTTCTTATTTAGGTAATGCCTAAGTCAAATTTGTGCCTGAAGATTTACTTATGTGACTTACAGAACGGTACAGAAAAGTACTTTGCTTCCAGTGTCCTGAACACTGTGCTGGCCTTTTGCTGCTTCATTGATCTGAAAAACTCCAGGTTTAGTTTCTGGTTTAAGTGATGAATGTGCTCAAGTGCTTTGAATGTATGCATTTCTTTTTTTTAATACAACTTGACTTCAGTAAAATAATCTGCAGCTTCTTGTCTAGTAAATAAAACAAATGAAACCTATGCTTCTCCAAACTGTGTGGAAATTGTTTTTTTTAATTTGCTTCTAGTCATTAGTGAGTGAATTTTGTTTGTCTGACAACGACTTTTGCCATTCATGGAACAGGTTGATGATGATACCTTGTAAACATCCCTTTTAGAAAGACCACTTTTAGAAAATACTGTGCTGCTTAGAATTTAAGGTTCTAAGTCCCGGAAACAACAGGGACTGCTGAGACAGAAGTGGGTCAGAATGCAATCCAAGCCAAGCAAGGGAGAAGTCAGAAACATGAAAGGTACGGATTCTCACAGCAATGTAAAAAAAAAAAAAAAAAACTAATCCAAAGGAAAATTTAAAAAAGCAGGTACATAAGCTTTTTAGCTTGCCAGTCTTGTTAGACACCCAGTCTCCTACTGCGAAAGCCTTTAGATTTGGACATGTTCTCCCTAGCAAAACCAGTACAGGTGCTTTTCAGATACTGGGGAAAATAGCTTAATCATCTTTCCATATTTCCTGGTGTTTTTTAAAAGAACTTAGTTTGCAGGAGCTAGAGCTTGAAACTTGACAGGAAGGCTACAGATCTAACATATATTTGACTACTTTTAAAATCTAGCCAAATCAGATGGCTGGCCTTAAAAATGGTTTTCATTGTTGTTATCTTTGCCCCCTAGACAGTTTTAGTGAAATGGATTGGAGCCATAAAGTTCATATTTGGATGTTCTAAAAGAAAGTTGTTTCTGGCTTTCCATTTTCAATCCCCTTTGGGTTTTGGGGGTTTTTTTTTACATTCTGTAGTGACATATAAAGATAATTGTTGTGTTAATTTTCTTGTTTTATATACTGAGTACTTACAGTGTCACAGGACAGTATGGCACAGACCAGGTCCATGGTTAGTGGTTTTTGTTATGCATTTCTGTTACACATTCATCGTCATATGCAAGGCTAGATGGTAACACTAGGTAAGCATAAGGAATTGGCTGGATGGCCGCATCCAGAGAGTTACAGCTCAATGTCCAAGTGGAAACCAGTAACAAGTGGTGTCCCTCAAGGGTCTGTACTGTGCTATGTAGTATCTTCAGCAATGACATAAAATAGTGGGATTGAGTTTGTGGATGACATCAAGCTGAGGGGTGCATTTGATTCGCTAGAGGGAGGGGATGCCATCCAGAGGGACCTGGACAGGCTTGAGGAGTGGGCCCATGCAAACCTCAAAAGGTTCAACAAGGGCAAGTGCAAGGTCATGCACCTGGGTCAGAGCAACCCCTGGTATCAATACAGGCTGGGGGATAGAGGGATTGAGGCAGCCCTGCGGAGAAAGGCTGGTGGGTGAAAAGTTGGATGTGAGCTGGCAGTGTGCACTCACAGCCCAGAAAGCCAACTGCGCTACATCAAAAGAAGTGTGGCCAGCAGGTCAAGGTAGGGGATTCTGCCCCTCTGCTCTGCTCTGGTGAGACCCCACCTGGAGTACTGTGTCCAGCTCTGGTGTCCCCATCACAGGAAAGACATGGAAGTGTTGGAGCGGGTCCAGAGGAGGGCCATGGAAATGATCAGGGGGATGGAACAGCTCTCCTATGGAGACAAGCTGAGACAGTTGGGGTTGTTCAGCCTGGAGAAGAGAAGGCTCCAGGGAGAACTTACTGTGGCCATTCAGTACTTAAACAGGGCTTGTAAGAAAGATGGGGACAGACTTTTTAGCAGGGCCTGTTGCCATAGGACAAGGGTAATGGTTTTAAACTGAAAGAGGGTAGATTTAGATTGGATATAAGAATTTTTTTAGGATGAGGGTAGTGAGACACTGGAACAGGATGCCCAGAGAGGTTGTAGATGCCACATCACTGGAAGTGTTCAAGGTCAGGTTAGACAGGGCTTTGATCAACTTGAGGTATTGAAAGATGTCCCTGCCCCTGGCAGGGGGATTGGGCTAGATGAGCTTCGAAGGTCCCTTCCACCCCAAACCATTCTATGATTCTATGATACCTATTTGCTCTGTTGACATAGGCTTGGTATCTAAAGGTGTCTCACATAGAATGTATAGGCGTAACATGGTGGTAGTGTGTACTGTGTTTTTGCAAAGTTTAGCATACATTTTATATTCTTTGAAATGTATTGGGAGATACTTATCCAACAGACTACATGATGAAGATGGTAACCAGCAAGAAAAGCATAGGTAATGTTCAATTATATAAAGATAGGCGAAGTAACTGGTTGTAATGGTCTGTCTAAACAGTCCTAAGAAAGGTATCAAATTTATTGTAGGAAGTACGACAGGTATGATAGAGAAGAAGAAGATACAAATTTAATGTACTACATTACTAAAAGCAAGTAAACATTCTAGCAGAGAACAGTGGCTGTTCCTAGGCTCAAAATGTCTCTGGTTTGACAAGAGTGAGACAATGACACACAGAGGACTTTGTTGATGGAAATTACCTCTCTTCTGTTTGGCTGTCTCTCCATGACAATTTTATTTTTGTACCATTATTCAGTCCGATTGCAGTGATGGATTTGGAGTGCCTTCTTGTGGTGCATAGTATTGACTTCTCCTATGTTATAACATCATAACCAGTGTTAACAAATACTAGCTTGAGGTTCTTGGAAAATCACATCTTGGCCTGGTAAACAGCTTACCAGGGTATAGGATGCTAAATTGTTGCACTTGCCTAGTTTTCAAACATCTCAGACTCCAAAATGAATGCCTCTCAAGGTTGACTGATGGCATTGCTCCTCTTAGAGAAACAGTGTCTTCTTGTGTGTTAAACGCAACCTGTTATACACTTACTGGTACAGTTTTACACTGACATCTCTTACACCAAATATTGTCTCTTATGAACATTAACAAAGCTTTCAGTAGGACCTTTCAGGACCTGACTGGTTTCTATGTGTATGTTTCCCAATCCGGTACATTTTAAAGCCTCATTTAAACAGTGACTACTTCAATACAGGTACGTAAATAGTGAACACCAAAGCAAATGAAGCAGCGTGTCTGTGAGTAAATGGCATGTCTCGTGCAAGATGGATTAGAACCACAGAAAGCCTAGTAAGGTATTAGCTACTGAAATTTAACCTTATATTTCTCAAACCTACCTCTCATTCTCCACTGGAATTGTCCTAAACTAACTCATTGATTTGTATGGCCTGAATGTTTTCAAGGCTTTTGTGGGAAGGAGATGACCCCTAGAGCTAGCAGGAGCTGCTGAAGAACAGATCAGTCTCTCATGGTCCTGTGTGGGATTTGCATTGGGGGAATAGAAAAATGCAGCCGGGAAAGTGGGTATATTAGAAATAAAAGCTGAAAGCCTAATTTTCTTTGCCATTGTTTT